TTCCTGGGGTCTGCCTGCAATGTGGTGGTTGGAATTGGAACTCCTATTTCCGTTGTCTGTGAGCCATTTCAGGTCTTGGTGGCTTTCAAGCTCTTGGGATGAACCCAAAGGGGTTCTGTGACGTGTGTTGGTCTCTCCAACCATTTCTGCTTTGAAAGCTGCAGTGCAGAGTACTGATCTAGATGCATTTACCAAAGGAGTCATGAGGGGCACCTTCCCCTAGACTGTGCCAACAGTTGCCAAATGGCTTCTTGCTGCTGCTTGCAATTTCTTCAAAGCTCACAGGCCGTCTTGGCCACAGATGGTGAAGGGATCCCCCCCCCGGTGTGTGCTGTCGCTGTTTGCACTGTGCAACCATGGCATTTGAATCCATCCAAGACCGTTGTCAGTGAGATACCTTGGTTTAAACCCACCGCCCATAGTTGTGCTTTTTTGTCTTTTTGTGTTTTGTTGTGTTTGGGGGCTTTTGAACAAACGGACCTTTGTTTGTTCCTTTGGGGTTTGAATAGGTCGCCAAACGCTCTACACAGGTCTTTATCAATCACCTTCATCGGTGGCAGGCCAGGAGCCTGCAAGTCGTTAAAGCTGAATTGCATTAAATGGCCGAGGGCTGGCTATTTTGGCGGCCCCCGAGTGGGAAAGCAAGATGACAGCTGCGTTTAGGATACAGGGGCGCTGCTTTGCAGCTCGCTTTCAGAAACGGATGTGGCGTCCGACCCGGACCGCGTGGCTGGGTTTTTCCCTCCTGCCCAGGCTTCCTGGACTCTGGGGGAAATAAGCCGCTCTTGTTGCAGAGGGAGCGGCTGCCTGTGCTGGGAGCAGGAGTGAAGCAAACAGGCGTCGGCTTTTATCCACTGCAGTATTCCTGACCCCCGGGCAGGTCCGCCTTTTCCCTGTTTGGGTTTCCTGTCTCCAGGATCCGTGCATTTGGTGTATGAGAGTGAGAGGCGTTTTTTGGACCCTTTTGTTGCCCTAGGAGGAGTGAGCTGGTGTGTGGGAGCTGCCCGGGTGCGATGCCCGCCCGGCGGCGCTCCCTGCTGGAACGGGTGCTCTGCGCTCCCTCTGTTCCTCTGTGCTCTCCGTGGAGGAGAGCTTCCTGGCTGCCCCCCCCCAGTCCCTTTAATAATGCAGGATCGAGTGACACATTCGCCACCGCCGCCGCCTGGTCAGACCGTGACGTCACCCTCCTGAAACCCGGGCTGCCTTCATCAGCCCACGAGGAAGAATCTGCTTACTCACATCCTCTCTGGCATTCTTTCCCTGCCGACGGAATGCGTTTCTCCGGAGGATACCGTCGTCTTTGTTTGTTTGGTGTTCTTACCTTTTCCTCTGGTGTAGGAGAATTGGACTGTAACCCTTCCCACCCCCCGTGTATGTGTGTGTACCAGCTGTTCTGGTCGTGACAGAGCCGTGCATTGGCCAGTAGCAGTCATGGAGGGGTTAGGAATCGGTCCCGTCTGAGCAGATTCCATCCCCAGGTGTCCTGCCCTGCCATGTCGCAGTGCTTGTGCAGGATGAGATCCGGTGCGGTCTGGCGTGTGCTGTGTGCTCTGGTCACGAATGATGAGAACTGTGAGGTGAGGCGATGCTCCCCGCGGGCCGGAAAGTCAGCTTGTTCTGAGCAACACACACTATGAGCCAGTGGAGTCGCTGGGGCAGAGGGGCAGATAGCTGTCACTGGGGCAGAGGGGCAGGAGGGCAGATTGCAGTCACT